ATGTCGAAACACTTGAAAGATTATAAATACGTTTTTGGTCAAAATTTTAAAATATTTGTTAAAGTTCTGTTTATTGTGCCGTTATTATGGGACTAGTTTTAAAATGCGCGCCTTTAGATTGCGAACAATTTTATACCAAAATGAAATATGTAACACACAAATTTGTCAGAACACTGGAAAGACATAAATAATTTTGTGATGATGAGTGTCCAAAATTAAAATAATTGTTAAAATTCAAATTATTGCTCTATTATTATGGGAATAGTTTTATAATACACACCTTTATATTGCGAACAATTTGATACCAAAATGAAAGATGTAAGACAAAAATTGATGTTATCAAACTGAACGAGTATACATATTAGGCTGCGGTGTGCAAATTGATGCTCGTTCACGGGTAACTTTAGGCTTTGCTGCGGGGAGTCACACCTGCCTTTTGGACATTATATGCATATACACCTGTAAGGAATTCTATTGAGAACACAATAATACCAAAACGAACAACGTAGCACGAGAATTCAAGTGAGAAAACTAAAATGAGTATACACATTTCGGTGTCGCCGCGCACTCGCCCGCACGATCACCCATATGCCAGGGGCGTGACCTCTAAGTTGGCGGTGCGCATGCCTGAGGTGCTAAAGTGTTAATACCTGAAAATATCTAAAAGAACTTCCTCAAAGTGTAAACAAACGATCGAAAATTCATGAAACTAGCACTAGATAGTCCACCTCCACCCATCACTTAAAGGGAGAAGGGAGACAGACCGGATCAGCTGGCTACTGCACCCACAGTTGTTGCTGATGGTAGCTAGTGCCTGGGTATCCTCTGTCACCCAGGATCTGGTTTCCTGCCTTCAACTCATTGGTGGTTTTTGCCATTGTGGCTGTTCCAATGGATGCTTGTGTTGCATGAGCCAGGAATATAGAGCAGATTCAAGCTAAGGAAACAAAGGTGCTGGAAAAATATTAGAAAGTTTTCTTTTGCAAATAGTGGTAAACAGAGACTGACGCATTCATATCAGACCGAAGAAAAGCAACTAGAACAGAAAGCAATTCAAGAAATAAAGAAAAACCCAAAATATTTCTTCACATATACTAAATCAATCAAATGCAAAAACCACTGCCAGTATTGGACCTATTCGTATTAGTGAAGGTTCATACACTGAGGATGACAAAGAAATTAGTGAAATCCTAAAAAAGTAGTATGAGGACTTGTTTAGCACTCCGATACACAGCATGAAAGTGGAAGATTCGAACAATTTCTTTGAGTGATATCCAAACACCTGTAAATATAACTGATATCAACACAAGCGTAGCAGATTTGAAAGAGAAATTGACAATATGCCCATGCACTCAGCCCCGGGTCCAGACACATGGAATTCAATATTTATAAAGAAATGCAAAGTGCCAGTAGCACAGGCACTCAGTGTAGTGTGGAGGAAGGCACTCAGTGTAGTGTGGAGGAAGGCACTCAGTGTAGTGTGGAGGAAGGCACTCAGTGTAGTGTGGAGGAAGAGCTTGGACACGGGGGGAGATATCAGACGCGCTGAAAACAGCAGACATAGCCCCTCTACACAAGGAAGGTAGCAAAGTATTGGCAAAGAATTATAGACCAGTTGCACTAACGTCCCACATAATAAAAGTATTTGAGAGAGTTGACCAGACTACACACTAGAAGGGGAAGGGACGACGACGTTTCAGTCCGTCCTGGATCATTCTCAAGTCAATTGTGATGAGGAAGTAGATGCAGGCAATAAATAGGCTAGAGAGAGGTGAGGAGCAAAGTGTAGTACAGGGGATAGTAGTAGGAATAAGAACTGCAGAGGGCTTATTGGCCCATATGAGGCAGCTCCTATTATAACCACCAAATGAGGAGGAGATAGTAATAGGAATAAGAGGATAGTAAGGGAACGTAAAGAAAACAATGAACAGAAAAGAGAGAAGAGAGAAAGAAAAGGAAAGAGAAAGAAAGATAAATGGAAGGGTAAACTTATGTTAGGTCACGTTTGTTAGAAAGATAAGAGCATTTAAGTATATACTGTGAAAGGGAAGAGTCCACAGCAACAAAGCCAGGACTCAAGTTCATGTTGGGTACATTGTGTATTAGAGCCGATTCAAGAGCGTCTGTGTAGAGTAGAGGCAGGAAAGATTATTTTGGAGGAAGACCCATCAATAGGATGATTGGAATCCCTCACATGACAGAAGAGAGCATTGTTAGTGTCTGCAGACTTAACACTTTTCTTGTGTTCTTTAAGTCTGTCATTCAGTGTACGACCAGTTTCGCCAAAGTATTGGAGAGAACAAGACGAACAGGAAATAGAGTAGACACTAGCAGCATTAGAAGCAGGAGGAGCAGTGTGAACTAGATTGCTACGAAGTGTGTTAGTTTGTCGAAAGGAGAGCTTTATGTCAAGAGGACAAAAGGTATTGGTAAAAGTTTTGAGTTCAGACACTAGTGCTACTAGTGTTGGAAGCAGGTTTAGGATGAAAGAAATTGCGTTTAGCTTGAGAGTAGGCACAGTTGATGAAATGCAAAGGGTAACCAAGGCGAGAGAATGATTTGTAGATAAAGGAAATTTCAGAATCAAGAAACTGAGGGTCGCTGATGCGTAGAGCGCGGAGGAAGAGACGAGGACACTTTTCTTAACAGGAGGAGGATGGTAGGAAAAGAAGTGAATGTACATGTCACTATGCATGGGCAATACTGGGTTCTGAATGGGCTTTGTATGCCAGGAATGTCTTTGCCAAACTTTGTTAGTAACACTGTCACAGCTGTAAAACTAAACGTATGGAAAGTTGGTTTACGCCCTGTTTTTACCAGATACTTATTGAAATTGTTCAGCATGGTTACGTCAACAAGCTGTAAAAACATGTTTTACGTACACACTCGACAGCGCCCACCATCATGTCACATTTATCAACCAAACGCATGCTGATATTGTAGTCCAGAACACAATCTGGTTTATATATGGGTTGTTTCGTTGTTCAGTTCACCTTGCCAGTGTGCAGCATTGAACTATTGTGAACGGCTGTCAACATGTTCACTTCTCTCCTGTCTTTCCACCGCACTGAGAGTATTTGATCACTTTTTCTTAGTTGGCAGTCACCAACTTCAATATTATTGTCAAACATTGGCATTTCCTTTCTTCAAATTCAAGTATGTTTATTGAGACAAGAAAAAAAAAATACATCTCAAAGGGATAGGGTAGCTTTGGCTATTTCTACCCCATTCCCTTCTTCTTGCCTTTACTATGCCACACACTCCAGTTCTATTTTCAAGCAAGAACCTAGTTAGCAAGGGACTTGTATAATAGTTGTGTATAAAATGTGGCCCTTGTTCAGCCATGGTGCTATCAGTGTCATCACCACACTACCTGAGAAACCTTGTTGGTCATTACCGGGAATGTCTTCATTGCTAGCAGTATACAGAATCATGTGTAACACAAGACTTGTTTCACAGTCACAGAGAACAAAGAATTTAAATCCAAATCTGTTGCGTTTGAAGGGAATATACTGCTTGAAGGCAACACGTTCTTTGAAAAGCACAAGGGATTCGTCGATCACCAGCTTCTGTGCTGGTACGTAGAAATCTCTGAACTTTCCAATCTGTTCATTCAGAACATACCTCACTCTCCAAAGTCTATCATCCTGTGTCTGGTCTTCATTATTTGCAAAATGAAGACACCTGAGGAGTATCTGAAACCTCTCTTGAGACATACATGTCCCAAACAAAGGTGTTGGAACAGTATGGTCTTTGCTCTAATAATCTGAGATAACATGTTTGACACAATGGTTCATCAACATACATAGTGCAAAAAATACATACATTTCACCTACGGTAGTGTTTTTCCAACGCTGTAATCGTGAAAATTATGTTAACTTGTGTTCAATGAGAGCCGCGGGAATGTTCGTTTGCTGAACAATGTGTTCCATGAGCGGCTCATCAAAATATGCAGCAAAAAAGTCCATTTCACACATGTCCTCACCAGTATCAGGGAAAAGATCTGTAATCCCAACATCTTGATTGTCAAAGACAGGAATTAGTGAAACAAAATCGTCACCATCACTCTACACAAGTACACCTGGTTAGGTAAGGTTATCTTGATGATTTGGGGATTTTAGTGTCCCCGCGGCCTGGTCCTCGACCAGGCCTCCACCCCTAGGAAGCAGCCCGTGACAGCTGACTAACACCCAGGTACCTATTTTTACTGCTAGGTAACAGGGGCATAGGGTGAAAGAAACTCTGCCCATTGTTTCTCGCCGGCGCCCGGGATCGAACCCGGGACCACAGGATCACAAGTCCAGGGTGCTGTCCGCTCGGCCAACTGGCTCCCATGGTGTCCTGCGAGATGAAACAGCAGCACCATGATGAGGAATCGTTGCACACCATGGACTAGGAGCTGAAGCCCGTCTACGCAAAGTACAGGCGCAAGCTGAAGATGAGGTATTATCACGTTAACTTGAGGGGCTTTGTTCCTCATTATCTCCATATGGTGCCATTCGGTAGCGCTTGGCTGGGCGAGCCGCTGCTGCTGACGCGACAAAACATCACTTGGTAACACCACTGCCACTAACGAGGGGCGTGGTAATACTATGTTCTGATTGAACTTCACTAAAACCAGAAAAAAGTCACCTTCCTCTGACTTCGTCCAAAATATCCTTATTCTCTAAATAAGTAAAACAACCGTGTGGTCGCTTAAGGGTTAAAGCAGTTGTTTGTTTTATTGTACTTATTCTTTCTACTTGAGTTTTTCTTAGTTTTGTGAAGATCTCTTTATCTCCAATCACCCCTCACTTCATGGAAAGAGCCAGATTCTAGCCTTAGCTCCCGGTAGGCAAGGGTGAATCTCCAGAGGTCTAATGCATTTCCAAAAGGCATGGCCTGTCTAGTGGAGCTATTGTAGTCTCCATAAGAAAATAGTCTTGCATTACATTCAACACATGATTTTTGTATAAGGTGGATATATTTAATTGTCATTTTAATCATTCTATTTTTTCCAGTGGAAAAGGAAAATGTGCAGGACCTTACTGTAGCCAACTTCACTTTCCGACCACTTACCCTTGGATTTGGTCCTCCCCATGAAATTTGTCGTAATGCTAAGTTTGGTATTACATTTTTTGGAAAGGTGAGTTTCTTTAACCAGTGTGCTTTTGAAGATACAATTACAATGGTTATTTGCTTAAACTAATTTCTAAATGGTCCAAACAATTTGTTTTTTAGTGCAAACTGTTCACAGCAAACAAGTGGTCCTTGCAGTGAGGGTTCTAGCCTAAGCCAGCACTGAGCCTGGCACTGTGTTGAGCTGACCTAATCCAATAGCAAACTGTTGTGTGTTGTATAAAGTCTTTTAGATATACAGTGCTTAAATATGACATTAATTTACTGACACCCACGTGCTTTGTGAATGCGATGTATCTGAAAATGCCAGTTTTCTGATTGGGGTTGATTTGGATACTCTGGATATTTGGCTTGAGAAAAGCAAGGTTCGCTTAAAATAGTTCTGGTATTTCATCAGGCAAGCGTCCTCCAGCCCGGGTGGTGGGGGGTGGGAGATGGGCCTAGTTTGTCCACTGACAGCGTCGGGCGCCACTCTAGTGCCTTCTATCCTATGACATCACAGATTCACAGCCCATTGTTCCCATTATTTTGATTTGTCACAAGACTGGAGTGTTCATTCCGTGACTTTGTTGGATATATCGTCGAAAGCTAGGAACATTCATGCATCATGTCAGTTCCAAACGCACCCATTGCATCAGTAAAAGCAACAAGAAGCTGGGTACATAAAAGAGGTCAGTGGTGGCATTTGAGAAGAAAGTTGAAATAATTAAGGTGGAGATCGAAGTCCCAAGAAGTGTCATGTGTGCTGAATATGGCAATAGCAAGAGTACTGTCTTTTATCTTCTTAAGGCTAAACCTAAAAAATGTTACTATTTCTCTAGAAGTGAAATTGATAAGGCAATACGAAATAGAAAGGTAGTAAGTAAAGCAAAAGTGGAGTGTTGATAATGCAGTGTGACAGTGGTACAAACAGAATGGTGAGGAGATGAAGAAGCCAGTGGCAGGCTGGCTGCTCATGGAAAAGGCACACAAGTTTCACCACGCAATGAAAATTCTTGAGGTGTATATACGTGTACAGTGATGGATGACTCAGAAGCTTTAAAATTTGCCATGGCATTAGGTTCATTAGGGTACATGGTGAACAAAAGTCTGCTGACATTACTGTACTGACGAGTATTTAAGAAAATTTGCAGAGATGGTGCTTGAACAACATTTATCTCCAGAACAAATTTATAATGCTTACTAGACAGATTTGTGCTGGCGCATGTTACCCACAGACACAATAGCGCATAGTTGTGAAGACGATTCTTCAGGTGGTTATAAGCTGAACAGACGGAGAATTTCTGTGTTGTACTGTGCAAATGCAGCTGTCACGCACAAATTGAAGTTACCTGTGATTGGAATTAGCAAAAACTTCAGGGCTTTAACCCTAGTGTTGCTAGGGGCTATTTGGCCAGTCACCCACAGGCGCATAAAAAAAAAAAATTCTTCTAAACCTGTTAATTTGTGTTCCCTGATCACAGGAAAAAATAATAAAAAAAATCGTAAGTAGCATATTTTGCCAGCTATAGAGCGGGGAAGTTTGGCAAAAAAGAGGCGCTGATTCAGCGTGTGTCCGAGGTGGTCTGCTCAGCCCCAGCTGTCAGGTAGGAGTGGCCACAAAAAGATAATTACCTAATTATTTCAATGTCTCTGATTGATTTTACTTTTTTTGTTGTTGTTGTAATATTATTCAGTAGTGTGATATATTTATATAATAAAATGTGTGAATCATCGCTGTACTCAAAATTATGGTATGCATATTATTGATTCAATTATTGTGTTTATAAAACAACAAATAAATACTTTGTCGGTTATTACACTATATACGCAGGTTATATATACGTATCTGCATGTTTTGTTCACCATAACGAACCACTAAGTTGATATTTGCAAGTCAAAAAGCGGCGAGGTGTGGCTACCACATCTGCCAGTTAGCCTCTCACCGCCACTCCCTCAATGATTCTTCACTCACCTGCATCCTCCTCCCACCATACTGTTCTTGCTTTTATTTACTATATTCAGATGTTATATATAAGTATCTACATGTTCTGTTCACCATAACTGTTCATCTAAGCTGGTATAGTGCCCAAACAGCATAGTGGCCACCCCTACCCAGCATGATAAATCATGCAGATGTTGCCACCTCCCTCACCAAAATGACTTCTCCCCACACTCCTTTTACTGTTATTACACTGTATATAAACATTATATATAAGTACAGTGGCACCTCGACTTACGGTTGCCCTGACTTACGATAATTTCGAGTTACGATGTAAATTTCTTCGAAAAATGCGACTCGACATCCGATGGTGTCGTTGACTTCTTATATTTGTTGATACATGTTTGGGTCGACCGAACACGTGGTTCCCGGTCACGCGGTCCAACTTGCCTCAGTTTACTACAGCTGCCTGCTTAGTGATGATCGCGCCTATAAGAAATTCCGCTTTTGTGGTGATTTTTTGCATTTTGAACATTAAACTAATTATTATATATCACACCATGAGTCCCAGGAAATTCAGTGGTAAGGCTCAACATATGAGATCCCATGTAAGGATGTTCATAGAGCAGAAACAAGAGATCATTCGTAAATATGAAGATAGTGTGCGGGTTGTTGAACTAGCTAGGCAGTACAACAAATCTCAGTCAACGATATCCACTATACTGGCTAAGAAAAAGGACATTATGGGTGCTAAAGTGGCAAAAGGCATTGCCGTAACCTATTCAATGACACTGTGATGCATCATTACAGACAAATGTTAAAATGAAGGGAAAAGCAAATCTCTCTTGACAAATTTGTAGTGAGACAAACAAGCACTGAACCACAACCAGGTCCTAGTGGTATTCAGGCAAAACGTAGGAGAGAGTGTACCCCAGAGAAAACATCACTGCCTGATGTGATAATGGAAGGGGACTCCCCTTCCAAACGGTAACAACTCTCCTCATCCCCCCTCATCACCATCTTCCATACACCATCAAGAGCCCTCCATAAAGGTAAGATAAACTTAGGTACTGTATTATAGTTAGAAAAAACATTGTATTCAGTATAAAATATATTTGTATGTTAATATTTTGGAGGGTGGGGAACGGATTAATTCAATTCCTTTATTTCTTATAGGAAAAATTGCTTCGACTTATGATATTTCAACTCACGGTCCGTCTCTGGGAACGGATTAGCATCGTAAGTCGAGGCCCCATTGTATCTACATTTGTGTTCACCATAACGAACCACTAAGTTGGTATGCTGAGTGGCAGTGGCAGCCTGCCACTGGCTGTCCCTCCCTCCCTCCCTCCCTCACCTCAACTGACTCGCCACCCTTCTCCTCCCACCATACTGTTTCTGGGGGGAGCCCCTACGGCTCCCCGGAGCTATCCATGGCTGATATGGATATCCTAACTATTTTGCATCAGTCGATGTGGGTGGAGTTTTAGCCTACCGGGGAACACGAGCCATAACCTGGCCCCCTCACAGGCACGGGGAGCAATGGCCCATATAAATGCACATGTGATTAGGAGCATTCTATATCTGCCATCGAACGGGACAGGCACCCAGAAAGGTAAGCGCCACAAAACAAACCCCTATTCTGGTTAACAGCGAAAATTGACAAACAAGTAGACAGAACTCCCCAAAAGAAAAACGAGCAAACAAGCATGATGTCACACGAGCTGCGCCGCATGTCTGCGCAGTTCCCCCCTCCCCGGGAGGGGGAAGGGGGGAGCCCCAGACTCCCCGAGCCGGCGATCCACGCCTCAGTTCCTTGGCTGATGGAATAGTGCATGGTCGTGTGGCTCCAGTTCCAGTCTTGTCTCAGTGCTATGACTTGTTTTCAGTGCTGCTCTTACGGTGGTCGTGTGAGCTGGGAGTAGTATTCTCAGGTACTCGGGCTGCATGTGCTTAGGGTCACCTTCCCTGAGTGCCCTGTAAGTACCGCCCTTGGGGCTTGGGGTTGCCTTCCACAAGTCGCCTTGGGTCTGCCTCTGTTGGCTTTTCGCTGCTTGGCATTTGGCCGCCCCGAGTGTTTGGGGGTTTTCCTCCCTTGTTTACCTTGGGATAAGTGGTAGTTATAGCATTGGTGGGGCGCAGGGTACTGCGTAGCTAGTTTTCACCTATAACAGCGGTCCGGCTCTGTTCCCACTGGGTATGTTGTCCAAAGAGCTAAGGATTGCATCGAACCCCCTTTGTTCAGGCAATAAACCACCGAGGAGCAGTTCGAGCCGGATCGGCGAACGACACTATAAAAGAAAAAAAAATAACGGAAATGCTTATGCAGATACGAATTTCCCGTCAAAGAAGGAATAATTTAAATAGGGAGATTGGAGAAATCGAGCGGAAATTGAAACACTTGTATCAAACTGAAGAAAGGCAGTTAGAACAGAAAGCAATTCAGGAAATAATGAAAAATCCAAAATACTTCACATATGCGAAATCAAAAGCAAAAACCACTGCCAGTATTGGACCTCTTCGTACAAGTGAAGGTTCATACACGGATGATGACAAAGAAATTAGTGAAATCCTAAAAAAGCAGTATGAGGACATGTTTAGCACTCCAATAAACAACATGAAAGTGGAAGATCCAGACAATTTCTTTATGTGGGATATCCAAACCCCTGTAAATATAACTGATATCAACACGAGTGTACTAGACTTTGAAAGAGAAATTTAAAACTTGCCCATGCACTTGGCCCCGGGTTCAGATTCATGGAATTCAATATTTATAAAGAAATGCAATGTGCCGGTAGTACAGGCACTCGGTATAGTGTGGAGCTTGGACACTGGGGAGATACCAGATGCACTTAAACTAGCAGACATAGCCCCTCTACACAAGGGAGGGAGCAAAGCATTGGCAAAGAATTATAGACCAGTTGCACTAATGTCGCACATAATAAAAGTATTTGAGAGAGTGATTAAGAGTCAGGTCACCAATTTCATGGAGACCAATGACCTTCACAACCCAGGCCAACATGGATTTCGAGCGGGAAGATCGTGCCTCTCACAGCTACTTGATCACTATGACAGTCACTGAGGCA